TCGGCACAGGTATGCCTCGTGAAACCAGGTTTACCTGTGCCGATCAAGAAAGGCTTCTTTGTCAGCGCGTCGCGTCCAGACTGCCCCGATCTGCCGACAAACAGCTGATCGGCAGAGCAGGGCAGCCATTTAAATTTAAATGAAGCCGCGATTATTTTAATCGCGGCTTCATTTCCCTCTGCCGATCTGGCTAATCTACATCGGCACAGGTATGCCTCGTGAAACCAGGTTTACCTGTGCCGATCAAGAAAGGCTTCTTTGTCAGCGCGTCGCGTCCAGACTGCCCCGATCTGCCGACAAACAGCTGATCGGCAGAGCAGGGCAGCCATTTAAATTTAAATGAAGCCGCGATTATTTTAATCGCGGCTTCATTTCCCTCTGCCGATCTGGCTAATCTACATGCCTCCGTCGACGGAGGCATGTAGTTTAGACGTACCCCTAGTGTCTCTGGTGGCTCTTAGCTCCACAGGCAGCACTGGACTGAGACTTAGTTAGACCAGGTCACCTGGCAAGTACAAAAGTCTCCCCGAATTCCAGCCTGCTGGAAAATTCACAACATGGGAAGTGGATCCTCCACAACACTCAAGTCTGCCTAAATCAACTTTCGCTGGCTCCAAAATCATTGCTAAACCAAGAGAGACCACCTCGAGCCTCAGACCCGTAGTTCCTCTGCGTCTGGCCTTCTACCTATTATAGTGGCAGAAAAGAACAATCGTTTATCCTATGCAGGTTCCCATCTTCTGTCTCAAAGCGTCAGACTACAAGTCTATCGGTCCCAGTAACTTGCCTCTAGCATTTCTTCAAAGGAAGGTTATGTAGAATCTCTGCCTCACACCCAACTAAAGAATCTAGGTCAGCAACAAACAATCTAGGCTAGCGAGTGGGCCACAAGTGACCTCCATCTCAGTGGACTGCAAGATTGTTGTAACCAAGATGGTCTCCTGAGACGGAGTCGTTTTCTCACTGCACTTGCGTACCTAGAATTTGCGGGGTGTGACAACTGAACTGCAGCAGCACTTTGATTGGGTGCAGAGGGTCACATGGCTCTCCTAGTCCCTGTTGTGTGCATTCTTCACACACCTCACTTCAAGTGCCCTTGCCTTACGTGTGTATCACTTTCATAACTCCAGTAGGAAAAAACCTACATGGATGGAAACCAGTGGAATCTGGCAGCCCCGTGCGTGGGTAACAAAATGTCTTGCTGCACACAGGACTGCCCAGTGAGGAGCTTATGCTTTGAAAACCTGAATCCACTGGCCATAGCTGAGCACAAATCTACACAGGTTATATCATCATCCAGCCTCCCTTTACAATTAGTCCAGTGACTGACAAAATGGTGAGAAGGGAAGCAAGCTGGATGGAGAGAGAAGTTGTACTTACCTGGAAGAGGGTTTCAGTTTCATTACTCAGGATGGTTCTGGGAGGTGCAACAACTAAGGTAAAGAACAAATTACAATCAGGAGAGCACATCTTCCACACCACCATGCTGGTTAGGGGGAAGGGGACCTGGTCCCTGTCAAGGGACAGATGCACCTTCACTGCCCACACAGGCTTGAACCCAAGTCCAGGCAAGAGAACAACACGGCTACAAAAGTTAGTCTGGTTACAATCGCTTTGTAGTCCCAAGTCACATATCTGGGCCAAATACCAGCACATCACCCCAGGGGATGGAGGGGTGAGGGTCTCCCCACTCCAGCATTGTACAAGGCCAACACTCCAGGGAAAGGGAATGGATACCAGAAGCCACTGATAAAATGGTACTCACACAGGTAAAATGGCAGCTCTGTGTCTGCCAGGTGGCTTCTCACAAAGTCTCTCAAAACGCCAACTGTTAAGTGAAGGAGAAGAGATGGTTTGCAGGGTGAAGGACACAGTCCTTAGCTCACATGAGCCCCCATCACAGCCCATGGGAAGGGGAACAGGACACCGTATAAGTAGCTCAGGGACACTTCTGGCTGGAAAGAGGGAGCCAACCCCTTTGTAGCAGGACAAGGTCCCAGAAAAGCAGATAGGGGTAAATCAGTGCATCTACCCTTGCTTCCAACCAAAATCCCCCTCCCCCAGTCCTTCTTCTAGGCCACTAAATCCTTTGGTTTTCCAAGTACAGCTAATCCTGATGGAGAGTGTCATTTGCCTTGGTCTTGTGTAGCTCCTCTCTGTCAGATCCAAGCACTACTCATCAGCAGTTCCCCCTTCGGCAGGGGCTCCCTGGCCCTCCATTTCAGTTCAGTGATGGAGGAGAAATCCGGATTCTCTCACGCAGCCAAAGAGCCTTTCCTTGACTGCCACAGGCTCACAGGGGGTAGAGTCACTCATTTACACGGAAAATACAGCTGTAGCTGTGACTGATTGACAATATCCTGATTAACTTGACTGAACTAAAGTGAAACTTAATTGATGTGGGGTTACCACCTTTGGGATACATTGCACTGGAAATGCAATATGCAAATGTTTATGTACAACCATAATACTGGACAAAACTTCCTTAGGAGAAAACAAGATTAATGCAATCTCTGAGAGGTGTGTGGAAGTTCAAAGGTCTTTTGGGATCGGTGTGTGTGAAGTGGATTTCCTAGGAAATGAGGTGAAGGGAATGCAAATTCTCCCCTCCAAAGACAACCGTTTTAAGATATACCCTGGGAAGTGAGATCCATTGTATACTAATTACCTCCTCCTGGAAACACTAGATCAAAGACCCCTGATTGGTATCAACTCCTAAGGCAGGGTGTTGAAAGCCTATTGTGGCCAGAGTGGATACTAGAGCTGGAATGAGCTCTGGTAAGCTGTGAGCATGTGTGTAGGCTCTTTTACTGTATTTCATGTTGTCTCAGTAACCCGTTTGACCTCACAACAAAAGCAGTCTTGTTTATAAGGAGCTGGGGTAACTTAGGTCTGCAACAGTCACCCTATTGCCAGTCTCTGGTAAAAAAGGACATACCCTGGGTATGTAAGGGACCTTGGTCTCCACCCAAGAAAGGCAACAGCTGTGGAGCCGGAGGCCACAGATTGAGTAACTTAGCTGGGCCCCAGAATAACAATGTCTCGTGTGCTTACAGACCCCACTTGCTAAAGGAAACATCTTTAGTTGACCTAGGGATGTTCAATTGAATCAGCTATTCAATAGGATGTCTCCGCCTCTGAAGTGTAGCAACAGCCCTAGGGAGTCCCCAGCTGATCCTGGGCTCCTTGCAGCACTGCGGCTTTGAAGTACCACAGGAACCCAGTGTCAGGCTCCTCCCAGCGTTTCAAAGCAGCAGTGCCGTGTCGAGCCCAGCTGATCCCAGGCTCCACACGGTGCTGCTGCTTTTCAGCGCCGGGAGGAGCCTGATGCTGGGCTCCCGCAGCGGCGTTTCAAAGGGCCATGCCGTGAGGTGCCCAGGGTCCAAACCTCAGGCTCCAAGCAGTGCTGCTGCTTTGAAGTACTCCCTTCTTCCCTCCCCACCCTCCAGCTCCCTCTTTCTGATAGGAGGAGTGACTAGTCGACAAGCTTGTCGAATATCTGATAAGCTTTTGCTTACCGGAGAGTCAACTAGTCCTTCACATCCCTGAGCTGGACATGACTGAAGTTGCAGCTGCACCTAGATTGGGGCTCTCTGGAACCTTTACTTATTCCTTTGGTTATGCTACATGGAATCAACTGGTTCCCAAGGTAACCCTTCCATTACTAACTCTTCTACCCATGCCATCCCCAATGCCTGGGAACAGGGTGGACACAGTCCACACCACACCTGACAAATGGGAGCTTCGCCAGATAGCCAGGAAACCTGGGTTTGCGGAGAGGAACAGAGACTCTGGTCACCAATTCTCAGCTCTAATGAGACAGGAGGAGTTTCCTGGGGAAACATCAAGTAGTCTAACTGGCAATGTCATGTGACTCCTCCAAAGGTGAAGGGGGAGCTACCCTAACAAACTCCCTGCAAGATGCTCTAACCGCCCCCTTCTGACTGAGCTGAAGACACCTGCTTTTTCGCTTTTGTCTGTGGAAGCTTTAGCCCTTCTTTATGCAACTCGCTGAAGCAACACAACCAGACAGCACTAGCTCCTTTTAGAATCATAGGATCCTAAGACTGGAAGGGACCTCGAGATGCCATCTAGTCCAGTGGCTCTTGACAGGGGGTACGCACGGTTCTTCCAGGAGGGGCATCAACTCATCTAGTTAGTGGCATAATTTAACAGGTACACGAAAAGCGGTAGCAAAGTCAGTTCAAATGGACATTTCATACAACAACTTGTATGTACTGGTCTATCCACTATACAATGAAATGTAAGTAACGTAAAACCTGTGCTATCCGGTACTTAACTAGCCAGAAAACTTTAGAAACCAGCACACCTTTCTGAGCCGGGAAAAATCTTGTTAAAAGAAAAAAAAACCTGGCGCTTTAAGCTGGGCCGCTCCTCAGACACTCCCCCACACCTCTGGCAGATGTGTGTGCAGCACATACCTGGGGGAGGGACAAACAGCTGCCTGATGCCAGGCTGTATCCCGCCTACCCCCTGCAGCTCCTGGCAGCCCGGCACTCCCGCAGCTTATGGCCGCCTGCCCCCTTCCTCTGCCCCGCGCCTCCTGGCCTCCTCCCCAG